CCCGGGACTCCTGGGGACAGCAGGACTCTCCTTTCTCTCAGGTACGTTTTGAGAGTGTATAACTTACCCTCTTTGTCCCCATGTGAAAATCACTGAAGAAACAATTTCTTTGTCACCTCTCTGAAAAGACTAAAGCTTCTGCACTGGACAACGGAACTAAAGGTATCTAGATCTTTGTCCATTATTCCATGTGACAGACTGCTAAAAATGCAAGCATTTCCACATTGTCTCTAACCTTATGTCATGTGACAATATCCACAGGCACATAATGCACCAAGCAACACCTACCAGCTGTGTTCTCTGCACTGGGCAGAAGTTATACGGGACAGTAAACAATTTTGAACAGAAAAACAAAAGCTGCCAACTCTGAAATATAGCATATATTCCCCTTCTGCCTGATTAATTGGGATAAAGTGTACAAATCGGGATGGAAAATGTAGATTTTCAGGAAAAAAATAAAAAGGAAGGGAGTTATAATAGTAAACAATTTTAACTTCCTTGTCTGCTGATGACTGATTTCTTCACAGACTTTCTCACTTGCTCTTGTAATAATTTTGTCCTAAATCTTGGAAAGATCTGAATTTTGATTTAGGTCTTAGTGCAAGATAGAGAGCAACATACCAAAAGATTTCTGCTGACTCCACGGTGCTTCAGAGCAAGCTCTTTTGATGGCATTTTTCATATTTGCTTTCAAATATTTCTTCCTCTGGCATCCTAAATTTAAATTCCTGATAAAAATCTCAAGAGGGTTACGAGGGCTCGAAGAGTAATACATGCATTTCTGTTATGTTGCAGTGACTTCAGTGTGTCGCAAGGGCACTATTAAGACTAGCCATTATATTTCCCAGTCTGAAATCATTATTGTGTTCTTAAGGGACTGATACAATACCACTAAAATCAGAATTAACAAATTACTTTGATTTTACTCTTGCCAAACAGAATTTCTCCTAATGAAATCCTTAGAATTTATGGTCAGCTAAAAGAGGAGAATATTGAGAATTTGGCTTGATAAAAGGTGAGTCAGGCCTTTAGGATTTCAGTTACTTATTAATAAAACTTCCACTAAGAAAAGTTTTCAGTTTGCTGGTATTTCCTGATTTAAACATGTTTTGTAGGATTTGGGGTGTGGGAGTTTTTGCTAATGTGATGACATATTTCAATTAATCATTGCAAACCATGCAAAGATAAATATTTGAATTGTATATATTCATTGCCATACATTCAAGTGTAATTCTAAACATTTAGTGGCAGCCCTGGAATTTGCAAATAGGTTACACATGACTGGAAAAACTGAGGACATGCTGACTGTTGAGGAGGAATCAGCATACTTCACTGTTTGCAATAATAGGTGTATTTTATCCAATTAATTTAGTCATGTGATTGTTACAGAGTTTATATTGCAGTGAGAGAGAGAAGATTCTTCTCCTTATCCTGAAATTAATTGTCATTCATCTCACACCTGTCCAAGACTGACATAATGCTAACTGGTAGCTTGCCAATGTCTCAAATGGCTGCTACGTGTTTGTGGTGGATTTCTCCCTTTTTGTGACTTGCACTACTCCTTCTTCATACCAGAAATATTCATCAGATATTGTGTAAAAATCAGAGGAGGAATACTTTGGGCTCTACATTACTCACAGATTCATAGCCCAAGTCTCTTGACAACATTAGCTGAATAAAGCTGAGTCTGTTTGTCTTGCCTAATTACTATTTTAGCAATCGGAATGGGAAAGAGTACTTTGGTTCTGAGCACTGGTTAGTGGGATGAGTGCAACACTATGTTTCACATGGAAGTAGGAACAGAGTTACATAGTTACATGCAGTCCTCAGACAAAGAGCAAGGTTTTCCCTGACTGTGAACCAACCCTAAGGGACATGTATGTTGTAGCTCAGCTGCAGATGAAAGCTAAGATGAAGAATGAAGTAAAGAATATTCAGGTGCCCTAGTTTGGGAAAATACCCCAGTACTGTAACACCAATTGATATAACCAGCCCCAATTCCAGCATCCTTTGTTTGTGAACTTCTGTTTTGTTTGCCACATCCAACTGCCTAAAAAATGAGGTGAATGCTGGCGGAACTCACAGTTTTGAGAGACTGTTTATACTGTCAGTGGCTGATAGCACCATAAAGTAAGTGTCCGCAGAGGGTTTGTTGTTCAGACAATATTTACATGAATTAACAACGAATGTCTTCAGGAATTTTGTAAAGTTTGGAGGAAAGAAAGGCTTCTAACTGTGTGTGTATATGGAACTGGAACATAAATAACTCACTGGCGTATTGTTTTGTTCCTGAAATGGACATGGTTCCAAAAGTACCTTATTTCCCAATTTCAGATTTGTTTTCTTGGCTATTTTGAGAATAGTTATTGAACTGATTCCATGATAACAGTTAAATCTAACTCCTTTAACTGATTTATTAGTTTTCACTATTTGATGACCATGTTGGTGTACATGGTTCTGCTGTATGGAGGCATGTGTGAAGCTGGTCAGGAACAGCAGCCTCATAACAAAAACATTACCTACTGCACAGCCAAAATGTAACCCCACTGTTACACAGTAATGTAATTATAGCGTATCCAGTATGTGTGCATCACCAGTCCTTCAGAAAACACGACAGACTCCACTGTAGATAAACAAATTTATTCCATCCTAGTCACAGATGTCCTGAAGGAGATACTAAAAATTTCTTTGATTATTATTAAGGAAAGTCAAGAAAAATAAACTACATGCTTTCTGATCACAATAAACATATTTCCAGAAAAAATAAAAGAATTAGGCTATGATACAGAATGAGTAGGAAGAAATGCAAGTGAAATTTACCAAATACCTACGTAAATTAGAATTAACGCACTGAACAGATTCAGTTTAACAAGAGTGGGCTGATTTGAGAAACTGATTATGATTTGAATATTAATTTTTGAGGACAGAGAAATAATCTGGAAGTTTTCAGAGAATGAGTTTTTCACACATCATAGAATTTTAACTCATGAGTAAATTATTGCAGGAAGGGGTTTCCATACATTGCCTGCACTTATGTGTCTAGGTGCATGGCATTATTATTTATTTATTTATTTATTTTTAACTGAAGGATAAGCTATTTAAAACACATTTGCATTTACTGTGGGGTTAAGGGAAAGCTGCTTTGAGCTTCCTGTATCAAGTTCTATGCCATTTCACATTTTTAGACCAAAGAACTTTCTTCAAAGAGGCTAACAGTCAACAGTAAGATCTTCATTAACTTATCAGGATAATACCTGTTTTTAAGTGATTCACTTAAGTAAGGCATACTGAAAGCATCCCACAATCAATTTCAAGAACAGTCTGTCAAACCTCAATGAAAGGATGGGAAATTGTAAGAAAAGAAGCCTGAAAGTCTTTACTCATAATACAGGAAGTCTTTCAATATTAAACAATGAAATGGCTATACTTCAGGCATCTTAATGGTATCACATCCTGATGTCTTCCATTAGAACCATTACAAAATTTAGGAGATGACAGCTTGAAAATCTCACCGGGAGAAGAAGTACGGTGAAGACAGATGAAACACTGAAAGACTTCAGGACACAGTCATGAGGAAAATAAAAGCTATTTTGTGAGGGCTGTAAAACATTTTTGTTGTGTTTTCCAGGAAGCAAGTACAAATTATTTGAGAATGAATACAAAGCATGATTCATATTGAGCTTAGTGAACAACAATATGGTTGTGGAAGAGGCAAGAGCTAAAGGACCTTTGTGCAACACATAGCCCAGGGCAGGACAAAGGTAGTCATAGTTTGCAACGAAGGCGATGACAGTGCAGAACAGGCACCCACAACTGAATGAACGTGAGTCTAGATTTCCATAAGAAATACTGGATTCCATAAAATTAGCAACAAAGTCTCCCTGGATTCTCACGACTTTGTCTTGTTCATTTGTTTGCTTTACTGGGCAATACTCATGCGGCTGTTTCTAAATGCTCTCTCCTAATCTTTCTGCCTGTTCGTCAAAGGAATAGAAGCCCAGATATTTGTGTTTTCCAATGCTAAAGTGCTTTTCTTTATGACAAAGTGTTTGAATAGTACACTGACCTGATAAGACACTTCTACAGATTTTCCAGATGGCTGTTAGCATTGACCTATTTTAGGGAAGGTGCCACACTCCAGTTGGATTGCTTGAAATGACAATAATCTGGATGTCTGTTTAACGTAACCCTGATATTATAAATGCTATTATTATTCATTCTGAAGAAAAATTCAAGCAGATATGTTTCAGCTGCAATAATTTTCTATATTTGTCTGTGTATATACAGAACAAATGTATTTCCTAGTTTGTTTCTGACTTTTCTGCTCAATTACTCTTTATAAATATTAATATACTTTTAAATACATTGCAAAGGAAATAATGTGTCAGTAGCAAGAAATTACACCGAGAAAACAGTTCAGAAAAAAATGGGTTAAAACCATCTGTCATACATAAGTTTATAGATAATTTTCTAAAATTTTGAAACTGATGATAAGACCACCCTGTGGTAGACTGCTGTTAATCCTTCAGTGACCAATCTAGCTGTTGAAATGTTTATCCAGTAAGTAGATGGACAGTGGTTGACCACACTGAACTTGGAGTTCAACTCTGGAGTAGATAAAAAAGCTGGAGTAGTTTCAATGTCCTGAAACCTGAACCTCAACACGTGCCTGTGCCATCAGTTGCGCCCCCCCCCCGGCTGCTAAAAAGGCCCATCCTTTTGTCGCAGGTGTCTGCTGGGTTTTGTTTTTCCGTTAGGGAATCCCCTTCAAAAACAAGAACAAAATGCTGCTTAGTTATCGGATAACGCCAGAGCCGGAGAATCTCTTCTCATCCTGAGCCCTCGTCTTTGGAAGGGAATCCTCTCGGAAGGGCTCTCCACCTCCCGCACGCACCTGCACACCCCTCGCCGCCCCTCCCCCCGTGTGTCCGGCACTGAGCAGCAGCCCATGGCACTGCGGCCACAGGATGGGGTCAGGCGTCGCCCGCTCTTTCTTTTTTTCTCTTCCCTCCTTTCCTAGGCTCCACTTGCCGTAGCATACATCCTCCCGTGGGGTTTGACTGGATCATTTATTTATCTTGTGCGCATTAAGAAACCACCATTAGGCTTTGGTGGGAGGTGCCTTACTTTCTGCGCGCTAGCCTGCCTCCCCTGCGCCGCGATAGGAATACACAATTGAACAGAAGCTGCAAGCTTGGCAGGAGCTGCCTTCTGCGTGTCTATTTATTTGCCGGATCCGTATTTTTTGCCGACTGGGTCACTGTCGCTCCGTTTCTAGGGTTTCATCTTCTTTTTTATTATTATATTATTATCATTATCGTGTGTGTGGATTTTTATTATCTTTTTCTATATTTTTTTTTTTTCCGGGAACCCTCGCCGGAGTTTCGACGCCGGGCCGGACTTAGTGCTGGCGCGGAGGAGCTGCGCGGAGCCGTACCTCCTGCCCCGGGCCCCGCCCGCGGATCGGCCTCCCTGGCCCGGCGCCGGCCGCGGAGTAGCGAGTGCGCTACGCCACGCCGCGCCGCCGCCTCCCCGCGGAGCAGCCGAGGGATGCTGCTGCGCCGCGGCCGGGCATAGGTAGGAGCCGAGCGGGCGGGGGAGGGAGCGGAGGGAAGCAAGGAAAGACGGAAAGAAAAGATCCCCCAGCCCCAAGGGGAGAGAAAAAAGAAGAGAGACGAGAAGGAGCGTGAATGTGAAGGAATGTGCCTGCCCGCTGCCGGAGCCGCACGGTTGGGATAAAAAAAAAATAAAAACCCAGGAGGCTGATTCTTGCGACTTATCACCTGGAAAAAAAAAAAAGAACCAACAACCAAACAACAAAAAAAAGCAAAGAGAGGAAAGAAAGCCTCTGCGATCGAAGAGGCTGAAGCGAGCAGCGCAAGAGGAGGACACTCGGCGGATGGCGCGGCCGTACCGGTGACTCCGCGGCCGCGGGAGGCTGCGCGGAGCATGCCGTGCTGGCGGCGTGACTGAGCGGGGCGCTCCCGCCGCCCGCGCCGCCCTCCCCTCCGCCCCCCTCCGCCGCATGCCGCCGGCAGCCGCGGCGCGCTGATGCCCCGGGGCCGCGGCGGCGCTGCGGACGGCCCCTAGAATGAGCGAGGGGGCTGCCGGCGCCGCGGCGCCCGGAGCGGCAGAGGCGGCGGCGGCGGGGGGCCCGGGCGGGGATGGAGCCGGGGGTCCGCCGCGGGAGCTGCGCTGCAGCGACTGCATCGTCTGGAACCGGCAGCAGACGTGGCTGTGCGTGGTGCCTCTCTTCATCGGCTTCATCGGCCTGGGGCTCAGCCTCATGCTGCTCAAGTGGATCGTGGTGGGCTCCGTCAAGGAGTACGTCCCCACCGAGCTGATGGACGCCAAGGGCGTGGGGCAGGACCCCTTCTTCCTCTCCAAGCCCACCACCCCGCCCCGCGGCGCGGAGACTACTGCCGCCGCCACGCCGCGGCCACCTAGCCGCGTCAGCCCCCGCCTCACCACGATGAGCCGGGCCCCCCCGCGACCTCCCGGCACCCGCGGACCAGCGCGGGGCGGCCCGCGGCCCACCGCAGCTCGGCACCCCGCCGCGCCCCACACGGCGCCGCCCGCCAGCGGTACCCCCGGCACAGTCGGCCGCGGCGCTCGGCCGCCGCCCGCTGCCGCCCCCAGCACCCCGCCGCTGCCCGCATGGCCCACTGCGGCACACGCTACCTCCTCCTACAAGATCTATGTCCACGACTCGGCGCCGTCGTGGACCTTGTCTCCCTTTCAGGAATCAACCACCACCACACCGGAGGCCAGCACGACCCCAAAAATCCGTAAGTACAGCCCGCCGCCCCGCGCCCTCGGGGCGCCCGCCCCACCCGCTTGCGAGTCCCCGTCAAAACCCGGTGTTTGCTCAGTGTCGGCGGGGTTAGGGCGATGCCTCGGGCGGAGGTTGCTGCCAGCGCGTCTCCGCGAGACGTGCGGCTCCCGCCCTGCGGGAGGCCGAATTGCTCCGAAGTTGGCGGTTCTTTTCTCCCTCCCCTGCTTGCGCCCCTTTCCCCGCTTGCGCCCCCTTCTCCACCGGCAAGTTCCTCGCTGTTGTGATGTGATGGATGGTGAGGCAGGAGCAGCCATTTGAGCGGGGACTAGATTTCATTGTGTTTTTTAGGAAAGGTGCAGACCCCACTCTCTTCTTAAAGGCTGGTCTGCTGAGGGTATTTGAGATATGTTGGTAGCTGTCTCAGCGAGAGGGACAGTTGACGACCTCCCGGGCACCGGCGGCTCCGGAAGGGGCGGTGGGGGAGAGCAGTCCAAGGGAGGTGCTGTGCCGGTGCCTCTGTGTCCGTGAGGGAGTTTGACTTTCCACACAGTCATCTCCCTCGAAAGAGATTTGAGAGAGGGCTCTAGAAGGATGCGCCCTCCGTCCCAGCACTAGGCTCGTGAAAGAGCCGCTGCCAGGACTACGGGGAAGGAGCCCAGGGCACCCCACGAATATGCAGACGCAGTCAAACGCTCTTGCGGCTCCTGTGTGTAGACACCGCACCGTCTTGCTGTAATTGACTGATTTTTTTTTTTTGGTGTTTTTTTTTTTTTTTTTTTGTTTGTTTGTTTGTTTTTTAAGAACGGGATGGGGCTAGTTCGTCGATTGATGCTCGGTGTCTGGCTCTTCCCACCCTCCGAGGCACAAACCTAAGAATTCGGGCTGAATCTGAAATTCATTTGGTTTGGGTGCATCAACTTTCAGCATCTCGTAAAGGTTATCTAGGACAAACGCAATCCGTGCCAAAAGAGCTTATGTGTGATGCTGTTTAGTGAAATGCTCAATTATACCGTTATTATACTCATCTTCTGCGTTTTCTTGGATGCAGTAGAGGAAACGAGGAGCCATGTGTCCTCCATTAACTCTTGGTTGCTTCTGGTACGAACGTCAATTCAATTGAATGCTACCACCTGAATTGCTTTTACAGCCCGTGGCTCCCCTTTTGCATGCTAATGTATGGCTGTTCAGCTCAAGGATTTTGTTAGCGCGTTATTTGAACTTTATTTTGTCCATTAAATCTATTTTCTGATGAGCCCTGAGGCTGGAAATACATGCAGGGCGAGCTGATCTTGTGAATTGACAAAATCGGGAGAACAGCAAATTGGACGTGTGGGTGGATGTGCAGGTGGTGGATGGCTGGGAATGATTACGAATAAAACTATCACTAAATCAGAAGAGCAAACAAAGCAGTAACTCATTTCCCCAGTGTCTGCTACAGTAATTGAGAGAGAACCTTCCTTTACAGGTGTGTCTGAGCCTGTTTGCTCTGTGGGTACAACCCAAGGAAATCAAATAGTTACCAGAAGGAAACTTACGTGGAGTTGGACCCTACCCATTTCACTTGGGTGTAGGGAGCTGTGTAGGGCACTTAAAAACAAACAGGCAAAGGGAGCCTGATTCTCAACCAGTGTCTCTGTTTTCAAGTCTTGTGTGAACCAGACATGTTATGTGGTGTTTCAGACTGCTGTGACCTGTGTGAGTTTGAAATGCTGCCTGGCCTTGTCAGGTAGGATCTCTTGGGGTATAAATGCTCTCTTCCAATCTATCCTTTTCTCCCCATGTCATGGTTGTCTTTTTGGGGGTGTGTGAGAAATCCACAGCAATTTCCACCCCTCTATGCTGTCTCCTTGCAAGGCACATTAGGCAAGAATATCCTGATTAATAAATAATGTTCATCTGGCAGGACTCTCCTCCATGCAAGACATACAAAGGAAGAAGAAAACCCAGAATCTTGAAATGTTCCTGGCAGTTGCAGAGTCTTGTAACCGTTATTTGTTTTAGGGAGACTGCTAATACGTTTTACAGCAGGGTGTTTTGCCTCATTAAATACAGCTCAGTTATAGGATGAAATGCAAGAAGTGCAAATCCAGCAGAAATTGACCCTGTTTGGGCACATTGGTAGCAGAGATTATCATTAATGGAAGATTAAATAGATTACATAAAAAAGGGTTTGAATTTGTAGGGCATGTGGAATATTTTTTTAAACCCTACAGCTGTACTTTTCTGATACATATAAGCATCTCTGAGGATATATGTAAAATTCTCTGAGGCTGCAGTATCCACTGGAGGGGAGGGGGAGAAGAAATGCAATCTTTCTGCCATAAGATGCTGACATGGTGTGACCCCAAAACAAGTATCTGCATCAGCCACTAGCAGCTCTTGGGAAGAAGGATTTTTTTTTAAACCAAATTCATCCTCATTTCCCAGGTTGAGCTGCATGTTCCTTCTGTGCCCACTGCTCCAGCTGCTGTTGAAATGAAAGTCATGGATTCCATTGTAACATGTGAATACAAATCTGACATGACAGATCTTACACCCAGCTTTCAAAATAGTGCACACCCTTGTGTGATCCTCTGGCTTGGCTAGGCACATACGTGGGCAGGAGTCATAGGTTATTTAGCATTTCACAGCTTTTGAGAAAGGAAGCAGCTGTCTTTATGTATACTGGTTCATGTTGTAGTTTGTTTAATTGTTTTAACACGTTAGAATGGGCTCAAAATATGACTTAGGAAAATGGAAGGCAAATCGGGAGCTATTTTTTTATAAAGCCGGATGATTGCCCACCTGAAGCAAATGTTGGTAAAGCCTTTTCTCTGTGTGTGCATTCATCTGAGAAGATGTTGTGAAATCTCTCTTTTTTTGTGGGTGTACATAATGACAATAATTCTTGGTTGTGTTTCACTCAAAGTCAAGCTATCTGTTAGCTGTTTTGAAAGTTCTTGATGAAGATCCTTCAGGTTCTGACTAAGCAAACGCCAGTTACTCATCAGATCTCTCTCTGTCTTTTGTGCCTGCCTGTGTTTGTCGTGATCATGCATGGACTGTGGCTTTTCGGCACGAGCCTCTTTATCCAGTGCTCAACGTAAAATTCAGTCATTGATTTAAAAAGATAGTCCAGTCTGTAGATCAGAAAAATCAACCAACTGACTGGAACACACCAGTGAGGTTTTATTTTTATCAAGCCATTGGCTTCATTTCTGAAGAGTCATGCCCTGATTTTTCCAATATGCATTTTTCATGGTGTTCTGGGTTCTTCAGTAATATTATCTTTAAATTGAGATACTGTACTTATAAGAATTCCTGTGTGAATTCAGCCATGAAATAGCCCTGCGGTTTCTCTTCTGTTCCTATGACCAAAGGCTAATGCAGAGAACTGAGGTCAGGCAGGTGGGGCTTGACTAATGCATGGTAACGAAGGAAAGAGACGTTGCAGAACTCTTAATCAGTGTATCTTGTGAAGTCCAGTTGTGACCTTTTTTTATGACTCCGGATTGCAGCCTGAGTATTCTTTGGTTTCCTGTGAAAGGTTTTCTGGTCCAGTCGTTTATCCTAGTCATGCCTCTGTCTGTTTGATATGCATGGCATAGGTTTAAGTAACAAGCTTCTGGCAGATGAATTGTTACCAACACTGACATTTTGGTAAAAGCTGTTTGTTTTATTTTGCACTGACTCAAATATCTTTTTCACATTAAGGATGACACTTAGATGGAACTGCGGGGTTTTCACCAACTGGAGGGTATTGTGGGAGGTGCCAAACCGTAGTAAAACCAGACCGCCTCTTCCTAGAGCTCTAAAACATTCTGCCAACAAATGACATGTATCTGTGAATACTTCACATTATGATCATGAGCTGTCATTGAAATCAAGGGAGCATGTATGACTGTAAAGCACATGCCTTTAGCATCGACTGAGATTAATATGTCAGTTATTTATCAATCTGTAATAGAACAAAAGTTGTTGAATTAGGAGAAAAACATACTGAAGCAAACAACTGGGAGTTCAAAAAGCATTTGCTTTTTCCTCATTCCCACTTACTTTCTATTCACATATCATGAGTCAATGTACCACAGACATGATTAGGTTTATGTTTCCCATCTTAAATACTTGAAGGGTACTGTCAAGATGAAATACAGAATTGTAGTCACACCACTGAAGTGGAAGTTATTGTAATTTTATTTTATTTTATTCATATATTACAGCTATATTTTGTTTCATATTTTTCAATTAAGTTGGATGACACTGGACTTAATACCATTTCCCATATATAATCCTCTTTGTAGTTAGGGACTAGCACAGTTATCACTGAGTTCATAAGGAAGTGGAATGTTTAAGTGAGGCCCACTCACAGATACATACATTGATTCTGTTCAGATATATTTCCTTTCTGTTCTGCTTATTTAAGTGTTTATTGGAATCCCTGACCTAGGAGAGCTTTCACAGCACTGGTATGATGAGAGGAAGGAATGTTGCTGAAATTACTCCATGCTGCCTTTTAACCCAGAAGAAAACTTTTTTTGAGGTTATAAGGATTCTCATTACATCAGTTTAACTTGTGATCACCAGTAAAAGCCAAGTCTTGCATTTTATTTATCATATTTTTTTTTAGCATCTATACAACGTTATGTGATATATTATATGTTGACAACAGAATACCGTTATTAAATTAAAGTATTGATTCATTGCAGAGTATTATACTGAAGTGATGTCAGTGGTTTGTCTAAACCCACAGAAAATGGAAATTAAAAATTAAAGCAAAAGACCTGTCTCTATCTACAGTATTGTGTCTAGTGTTGCAGTACATTTATCATCTGACTCAATGCTTTGAAATCTCCTGCAAAGCCCAGTAAATACATGATCGGTATGGATTTGGCTTTGACTTTAAATTTGATAGCTGATGTAACTTTCAGGAAGTACCTAAAACATACTAATGTTTGGCTTTTGCTGATTTCTCCATGACTTGCTTGGAAGCACAAGGAAAAGTGCCTAGTAAAATTGTTTAGGATCACCTGGCCACAAATAAATATATTTGCAGAGACTTTTGTATGTTTCTGAGCCTGGTGATTCCTTTCTTGAGATTCTGTGTGGTTCGAACAAGTTTGCAAT